GAGAAAATGTCTACAATGATCATTAACAAATCCAAATAATTTGAGTACAGGGTCATAGTGCGTAAAATCATCAATTAAAGAAAAGTGTAAACTTGAAAGTTCGTTTAATTAATTTGTCAGGAGTAATGTATGCCATTCATCCAAATATAAAAATAATTTAATTAATTGAGTACTTGGACTCATCTTGATCCTCATCATCGTCTTCAGAGTCGAAAAATGCGTCGTCGTCTTCACTTTCAATTGAATTATCACTCTGGATGTTCCTCTGCTGATTACTCCGAAATTTCGGCACAACAATGTCTCTGGAATAATAAAATGTCATGAGAACTTCATTAATAGTGGCAAGTAGCTATTGATGTTTTTCAATTATAATGCATATTATTCCTCATTTATATTGTTCAATTAAACCATCAAGCTAGAAGGAAAATTAAGAAATTTTAATAATGGATTTTACTCACCCAGATTTATAAAGTTCTTTTTTTGATACGCAAACCGCAGTAAATGTATCTTCCAGCAAACAAAGCTCTTTTTTTTTACAGTTGAGAGGGCGACATAATTCACCTAAAAACCAATGTATACTTTTATATTTACTCATCGTTCCAATGATACATCCGATATATATAAATTATCGAGGTTTAACAATTCCTTATTGACGATTTTATCTGTATTTTTTTGATAATCATCATTAATTTTCATTCAAGTCATTAATTCCGCGCAAGAATTTCCCTTTTACTCAAAATATATCACTTACTGTTTGGATCATTGATCCATAATTTCTTATCACCAACTTTCAATAGTTTTGGGTCATCCTGAAACAAAAAAATATCGTCTAATTAATTAATCATCATAAAAATAATTTCAATCGGTAAGATCGACTCATGTGATTCATTCAATGAATGAACATTCTGATAACGTAATTTATAACTGATTGTGAGGGTGGAATCGTGGCCATTCTGGATAGTTACTGCGCCTGTGCGAGATAAATGCCATTAGCTCAATGATTACACTTGCTGACGACAAATAAAACTTACGGATAGCCCGAGCAGATATCCATTTGCCCTTACATTATCCCATCCATACACATTCTATCATATGTATATGCCATTGCGAGAGTCTGTATATAGAAAACAATGTAATATGCGGAATCTCATTTAATCTGCTTTTCACACAATCGCCATTAGTCTGAATACAATAATGCTCAATCGAGTAATGATATTATTCATCATGGATGCTCAATTAGCACGTCTGACCTAATCGCCTGTTGGACTACTTATCCATGGCTTTATTTTAATCCTAGTTTATAACAGATGCAATCCATATTTATCAGTTGCATTCTTTCATTCCGATGTTTGGGTTCCACCCACTCCTCCAAGATTGGAAATTCGTTGGGTTCAAGGACAGCAGTTCATTCCTGACGCATTGCGCTTGGACGCATCGATCGTCAGCAAAGTGTAAGAGTGTCATGAAAGATAATTCATTCTG